AAGAAAGGTACATAAAGTAACCCCGCTATTACCAAGGATTGCTGTTTTACTTTATTCATCCCTTAAACACATAAAAGAAAGCAGAAGTATAAAAGAGTTCAGGATCTGTTATTTCAGAATAACTGATGCCATAAACTACGTCGCAAAATAGGCAGCCAAATCTCCTCATCCACCCAGAAGTAAGATCAGTGGAAGTAAGTGTCAATAGGTTTACAACATCCTTTACCAAGTTGGTGCCCTATATATGTTTGGACTAAGTCCAAAACACAGGAAGGCTTCACAATCATGTGGCATTTATTTAACTTAAATATATCTAAAATAATGGGACTCGCATCTAAAGGAATCAGGATGTGGATGTTTGAACTGGGCAGAGATAGATATTATTAGTTCGTCTATAACTGTCTACTGTTTGAGCTAAATAAAGGGAGGACTAGACAGAAAAACAAGGCAGTATCCATGTTGCGTAATCATCCTTTCTTACCTTACACTTGCACTGTCCTGCAGGATCAGTACATGAACACTTTCCTGTTTCTAACTCACAAGTGCTTGGCTCAGTCCCTGCTACCAGACATTCACAGGGGTTGCAGTTTGGGTGGCCGTGATAGCCCAGCCGGCATTCATCACATTTATTGCCGGAGAATTCTGGACGGCACAAGCAGCAGCCAATATCTGGGTCACACTGCAGACTCAGTGATCCAACGATGCTGCAGTCACAGGCCTACATGAGAAAGGGGATTCGAAAGACATATGTTTACACTTCTAGTGTCTTCTAATCAGTCTGCAAACTTCAAGCAAGGGACAACAGTCTTTTCAAGAATGACTGAAAGAATGTGGTCCAGTGTCAACAGGACAAACAACCAGTTTGTGTATCTTCTGTTCCTGAAAAAGGTAAACATACGGTGAAATGAAATGTGTTAATCTTGCCTCCTTTCCTTCATCATCTTTTGGAACTTGTAAGTCTGAAGAGGAGAGCTTCCCCTGTTCTTGGAGACTCTCCATGCAAGCCAGAAGATCAATTTCCAGTATTCTAGCTCATGAGTACAAGAGACTCTCCTCTTCAGACTAACACCCTCCATGAGTAGAGATTAATGGACATGACAGAAGACTGGTGGGGCTGGAGTGGTCCTTTTTGTCAGATTTTGTCATCTATATTCAGATACAGAATACCTGAACAGGCCTTCTATATGTCTGTCTATCTACATAGAAACGAGGTTTGCTTCTGGATATTTTTACCATGTGGTCCTTGTGTTTGTCTTTTGATTTCAAGTAACTGTTGTTGTGTGAGAACTGTGAAAATGGATTATTGCAATACTGCTGCCAAGGAAGAGTCCCTGCAGAGAAGAGGAAAATAAGGCAATGGTATGGCCTATGGGATCCATCTTTATATAGGCAATGTGCCCAAACAGGGAGAGAAGGTGCTGAAATAAATAAATGAATACATTTTAACTGTATAAAGAATGGTCATTTTTCCATATGCAACTGGATAGGTATAGGTGCCTTCCACCATTCCTATATTAATTAATTTATGTTGTATGCAAGGAACTTGGATGAGCCAACCCAAACTAAAAGAAAATAATAATCCCTCTGTCATCAAGTAGAAACAGTGGCTAAAAGTGGAGAGGTACAGAGTACAAGTCAAGCATTACTGAGTGCTGGCAAAACATGCTATGCTTTTTAATAGCCAAGCTGAGAATGCTGGGGGAGGGGACGTCATGTTATTTAGCTTCCACACTGCTCACAAGAAATAGTAAAGGAAATGTTATGCATACAAGTAAAGAAACTGGATGATTACTAACTGATTACTAAGGTAAGGGGCAAAAACATCAGGTATAGATTCTTAAAAGTAAGCAAAATTCACAGGGCCTCCAACTTGTAGTATACTGGAACTATAATTAAATTCCATCAGTGAATCAGTAGGAACTCTTTGTGGGGAAGCTTTTGCATCAAATAACATAAATAATAAAACAATGGCCTTGGAAATCCCGCACATTTCTTCCTGATATGGAAACTTTGCCTAGCTTATGGAGAAGCTATTAAAATGCTTGCTAGTCAGCATCCAAATACTAGTTCTGTATTTCTATGCCGAACTTTCCTTTTCAATTTTCAGTGAAGATACATCTCACATCAGCGGTGATCCTAAGCTAGGAGCACTTAGATATGGTGAAGGAAGATTGTAGATGACTGAAGTATTTAAAGTGGGTTGAGTTTTCCTTGGTTCATGTTTGCCATTACTTTAAATTGAAGAGGAAAATGCTTGCATTAGTAGAAATTAATAAATCAATGCAGTAATAAAAATGCAGTTGTGCTGGAGCAGTTTTGAAAAAGAACTTCATTATTCACATCAAGATCCCATCACAGGGGCCTCCGGCAACACCTCGGGTTGATTTTGAATGAGCGGATCCATAGCTCAATTGGTTCCACTCCTATGGTAGCCAAAAGCTGGACTAGATGTAGCTGGAACAGCTAACAGTTAAGAACTGCCTGGCAGGCAGCTGTGAGGTCTAAGAATTAAAAGCTACTTGGACCAGGGAGCCTGCAGAGTGAGTAATGCCAGAGGATAATGTCTACTGGGCAAATTGTTCGCCATATGCGAAGTAAATTACAGTCAAATGTAATGTTTGTTTTGCAAGGAGGCAGCGTCATGCAATATTCCCTTGCCAGTGAGTTATGATGGGCCCTGAAATTGGCTCCACTAAAAGCTCAAGTGGAGAGGGGGCAATCACACCTTGCCTTAGAGAAATTAGTTGCAATGCGTTAAAAGGGGAGACTTGGCTGACATATCATTATTAATTTAGAGAGTGCTGCAGCAGCTGCCATAGTAATGCACTCATATAATAGACAAGGCGAGGATAGATAGGAGAGATCCCAGAGCTGAAGCAAGGGGCTTCACCCCTATTAAGCAGGTTTGCAGAAGCCTAGTGATCTGTGTGCTGTGGAAAGGCTGAGGTTTTGTGAGAGATGCTTTACAGCTCCAAAAGAAAATAAATTATGCTGCATTAATTAACTAGTCTGAGTAACTACCACCAAACAGCTTTTAAAAGAGAACATTGTGGCATTGGATGGCTTGCATTCAGGTAATCTATATGGAAGAAAACCACAGCGATATTAAATTAAGCCCTTTAAAATGCTATTAATTATCACTTGGTGCAGGACTTACAGTATTCACTGATTACTGTTTTGACCCATATTCGTTTTCAGTGCATCTCTAAAACAAGGTCATGCTTATTCCTACTGCAATAAGAGGACGCATACGTGAATGTCAGTATGGCAAAGGTGGGAACCTATAACAGAATAGGGAACTAGGACATAGGTGGAAGGTAAGCTACGACCAAATCTAGCAACAAGGATTCTCACTGTGAATACATGTAAATTTGGTTTAACAGACCACCTGGCAGAAGACACGAAAGCCACAATTAACTTAAGGAACTCATTACCACAAAATGTAGTGATGAACTGTAACTTAAACTGGAAAATGCATGCAAGAGAAAGAGATCAAACATGTCACTACTCTGAGGTCAATTTTCCTCAACCTGCTGCCCTTCAAATGTTTTGCATTTCAATTCTTGCAGACCCAGCATTAAAAGGCAATGGTAAGGAATGTTTGGTGTTCAAAACATCTGGAAGATTCCAGGTTGCAGGAAGGTGCCCTATGCAATGGATTTCTCATGTTTATTTATCATACTTGTAAGAACCTTTCTCCTTGCAGATCAGGATAGGATTCATGGTGATCACTTCACTTTGTTCACACAACTACTCTGTGAGGGATGTTGTTGAGCAGCACATTTCATATTATGTATGAGATCTGTGATTAATCGCCTGATGTCTTCTCTTTTTGAGAAATGCTGCCACATTTCATTGTGAAATTAAGCTCACATTTTACTCCCAGAGGCTTGTCCTGAGTCTATAAATCTTGCAACTCACATCTGGCTTCCATTTTTAATTACAAAATTGTGATATCAAATGAATTCCTAATACTGCCCATAAATAGGAAACACTGGGGCCACTGAATGAGACACTCAGACACTACTAACAATTAGACTGAAATAGCGCAAGGAACAAAAAAAGCATAGTCAAACACAGTAGAAGATGTCTGAGTTATCTTTAGGTTCACTTTGCCTTAGTTCTGTAAAAAGGATAAACTATGTCTGAATTCAGGCAGATTTCGTTCTTCTGACTTCAGTATATAACTGCTGAAATAAGGTGCCATTCAAACACTATCTGCCCCAAGACACAATTCTTGTTCCCATACAGCTTATCTAGTCACCTGGATCAATGCCAACCCTCACAAAAGAAAACTCTACGACTGTTTAGAAAACTACTGTTGCATTTTGGTTCCTCACAGGAGCAGTTTACTCACGGAAGGTGAAGAAACACACACAGAGAAAATATAGATTGACTCACCTTGCACCCGCTGATAATGTCATGACCCCAGTGATTTGGTGCACATTTATCACACTTCTTTCCTACAGTATTGGGAGGGCAGATGCAACGGCCAGTGTGTGGATCACAATTATTTCCAAGATGAGCACACTCACAAGCTTCACGTGGGGAAGAAACAAGAGAAAGCGAGAAGCTAAACCATCTTTTGAAACACAAAGCACAGCACTTATTACAGATGATGACTGTTTACATCATGATCTTCACAGTACCTACTTGTTCCCAGTGTGTATCCAGCCATGTTCTGGAGGAACAATAAAGGAGCCACAGGCTCAACTGGAGCTGACCCAGAAGTAAGGACAAAAGAGGTAGGTCTGCGACCAGATTGCAAAGACGATTCTATTATGTGCTCACATCTTCACTTATCACGTCTAGCAGAAGGTAGCCCAACTCAGCTCATCAGCTGCCTGGGAAAACACACTGGCAGCCTACTCTTGGGGGTCCGTTTGTGCTCTTGCTTAGAACAAATGCAACATGGAAGGCTTTACTATATTCTAACATATGCCAAGGCTCCAATCTTATACTCACTTAAACTTGGGACTAAGTTAGTCATATTTAATAATACTTCTAAGTAGACATCATAAATTTCCACTGTGAATTGATGCTGACAAAACAGGCAATTTTTGCTAGATTATGTCATTATGGTATTTATTTCACATTTGTCTGCTCTTAAATTTTCCCCAGTAGGCAAATTATCAATTGGTGGGAAGGGAAAATGAGATCACACTGGAAGAGGGATGTAGGAGGAAGAAGATCTGCCAGTACCCATATCCAGAACCTGGCATGCTTGCATTGCACCATTCCAGCCCCTCTCCTACTGCAGGACACATGGTGTGAATGGTGGAATGGTGTGATTGCACTCAAGCCCTGCTCTTGGGCTTCTCATAGGCATTTGGTTGGCAACTGTGGGGACAGGGCTAATTAGACCTTCTGGCTAGTTAAACATTTCAACTGATCGAGCAGTGTCCCTTCTTTTGATCTTAATTTCTTAAACGCACTGGATGCATTTGACTTTTCTCAATATGTCCTTTAAATGGTCATTAACTGTCAAGACCAATATGCTGTTACAAAGCTCCAACCACTGTAAAACAATTTACTGGAAGATGAAATACCCAGAACTCACGAAAACTAGGAACTTTTGGTATCTCTTGCATCTGTTTCCTTTCAAATGTCAATACATTGTCTTTTCAGCTCTTTTGTTAGACACTCTCTCTATTTATGCACACTTACATGCACACATCTGTAACATTCATTATCCAGACATTTATTTTAATCAGATTAATTGCAGAGCTACAACGACACCAGCCCCACTTTGAGTGTAAGGGGCATGTTTTCTTTGCAAGGTATAAAAATGAACAATTAGAGGGAAATTGTCCTATCCAGAGCTTGGACTTCCTTATGTTGTATTTCTGCACAACCAACACTAGGACAAGAGGGCTGATGCTGTCATCTCAAATGGAAATTATCAGCACTAGAATGAAACTGGGTGGGGGATAGGAACGCCTGAATGTGGGGGCCTTCTTTTCTTCCTCCCAAAGTGGAAACAGATGTCAAAGCTGACAGCACTGCCCATCTGTTTGGCAGAGAAAGGGAAAATAATCCACGTGTACATCAGCAGGCATACAGCCCATTGCTGGATGAAAACATTTTTGGATCAGGGCCAGTATGTTTTCTACACTTCATTTTCTCATATTCATCACTTGTGCCAGTACTTACAGTACTACTGAGTTATTTAGTTCCAACTGTTGTTGCTATATTATTATTATTATTATTATTATTATTATTATTATTATTACTACTACTAAGCTAGAAAGCCTTCTAGACTTCACTCTTTCTCTCAGTGTTCTTTTAAATGCCTTGTTTTAAAATAGAATGGATTTGCCAATACATTTCTCAAATTAAATATTTGCCCAAATCCTGTATTCGCACTGTGCACACAGCTGCTAGGTCAGTTCTTACATGTGCAGGGTCAAGGAATGCCCTGCAAATACAACCCAGAGCATGAGCACATGCATTTGTGTGCGCATACGCGCATGTACTCACACACAACACCAAAGAAGATGGAAGCCCGAGCATATGAGAGCACCCAAATTTCTGATCACAGTTGCTTCTACTCCAAAAATCCAATCATTTTTATCTTTTGCTTTTGCCAGTGATATCTTACCCTTTTCTTTTTGTGTGTGCAGAAGGACAATTTAAGATGAAAATGTAACTCATCATTCATTTCTATCACTTTATCATGTGAAAATCTGGCATTTTAGAGCAAGGAAGATGGGCAAAATCTAGTCATCCTGGGAACACATCTATTGCAGAAAGGTTTCACAAAAGACTATGGCTTTCCAAACCTGCAAATGTTGCAAAAATGGCAAATCACAGAGATCATTCACTGTGTGCTTTTTCCATCCCCATTTGTGCTAAGAGCCTTAAGACTACAGTTACCATTTGTTTTTCATTTCAAGTTTTCTCTTCAGTGATTCCAAGCAGTGACCTCTTAACTCTTACGAAGTGCTGACATGTTTAAACTTTCATACAACAATAAACATGCCATTATAGATCCACTCTTTTTGCACAGGGACACAATCGTACAGAGTCATGGTTCTGAATATAACCTACAGAAAACTTAAGTTATATTCATCTGCAGAAGAAGTTTGCTTCTTGGCTAGTTTAGGGATGGAATGGATGGAAGCTATCGTGAATGGCTTCAGGATTCTGCCATGTTTGGATAGACCAGGGGACTATCCTCAAACTTTTTTAACAGGGGGCCAGTTGAAAGGTGCCGGCAATGGGTGCAGGCCGCCTCCGAGTGAGTCTAAAACAATCTCCTTGTGAGCAAGCTGCCGCTGGGCATGCACACTGCAAGGTGTAGGCTTGCTCGCAAGGAGATCCTTTTCTCCGAGTGAGTGCAAGACTGTGTCCGCATAAGCAAGCCCCCGCCTCGCCACGCGCATGCACATGCGCACCGCGAGTCCAAAACCTCTATGGCGGGCTGAATCTGGCCCACAGGCCATAGTTTGAGGACCCACGGGTTAGACTATTAAGAGGGCACTGCTCAGTGTTACACCATAAGTGACATGATAGGGTAGCTGGTTCAGTTCCTGGCATCTCTAGTAAAGACTTTGAGTAGCAAGGTTGATAAAGGCCTCTTTGCCTGACACATTTGGAGACCTGCAGACAGTACCATACAAAAGAGGCCACTAATCTGATTTAGACTGCAGCCGTATAGAATCATCAGAGAGTGACTTCTCCTGAGCACAAAGGAGCTTAATTTTGAACATACCTACACAGAATTATTTAAGAAGGCTACAAGCATATACACCCCACTGAATATAACAGGACTTATTTCACAATGTGTAGAATTCAGTTATAAATAGGAATGGATGACCCAATCTCTTTGTCCAGTGTGTGCCAGGTTCTAGATGAATCATAAAGCTGTTACATTCTATTTCTGCATTAAAGTGTGGTTTGTGCCAAACTGAACAAAAATCTATTTTACATTCCCCAACATTTCTAAGCATATTTTTCCTAAATATATGCATTTCTAAATGTATATTATTCTAAAAGTTGTGTTTGCTACTTTTTTCTAGCCAGGGGTTGCATCACAGATTTGGTAAACTGAAATCTGACCTGGGAGGTGTGGATCAGGTCAGCTTCAATTTGTAACTCACAGGGATGCAATTTCTTAAGCATCTCTAGCTTTAAAGGAGCCTGGGACATAGGTCAGAGCTGTGTGTATATAACAAATAAATTACATATACACAGAAAGAAACAATCATATTTTATATGTAGGAAGTGTGAATATCTTGCACCAAACATGGGAATATGAGTTTCTGGCTTTATATGTATAATAAAGATTAGCTTATTTGAATTGCTGAAGGGAAGAACATTCACACTGACATAGGAAGGTTTGGATCCATCACATACTATATAGAAATATAAGCAGAGCAGAATAATTGCATTATTTGAATACTGTGAATGGCAAACAAAATAAAACTCTTCCCAAATAGGCTTTATCTTATCCTTTTCATTTCTAAGTTCATTTCTTGTCAAATTGGTTCTTCCACAATTTCCCTTCATAACTCATTCTGTTAACAATTATTCCTTAAACCAAGAAGTCTGTTCTCCTAATGATATAGGTCATATTTATTTCACAGCTACCATGAAGATGAATGACTTTTACAGAGACATGGATTTGGGTGCCCAAAAATATATATTAAATGTTCCTTTGGTGCCCAAGTGGGAAAACAGCTTTGATTTTCTTCTAAACCACAGCAATATCTACAAAATTTAAATAACACAGGGGAAGAACCCACAATTGTGGAATTTAGGAGGCTTCTTCTGTGCTGTGAATCCTTCTCCAATTTCTAGGTTTTGCAGCTGTGGGGATAAGCTGATTGGCTAATGCTCAATGCTCTCATTAGAAGGGAGGGAAATGTTCAATGATCTTTCTCCTATGGAACCATGGTGTTATTTGAGCTTTGCTAGTGGTTACATAGGGAAGTGGAGAAATGTAGACTTGCCATCCCCTCCATTTTTCGGCTCACCATACTCAAAGGTTAAATCAGTGGACTATCATCTTTCCTAACCAAGGACCCACTGCTAATTTCATAAAACCATGCACGCATGGACACACACACATGTGTGCACACAGGGAGGCCACTTTAAATTATCTTATATACAATTCTCTCTCTCAGTCTTCTCATTCTCTTCTGTCCACAAACATTATGTGGCTATTATGCTGCTTTTTTCCTTTGGGATCCCAACCAAGACTGAAACTGTATACAAACTGAGAGGTATATCTCTGCATCCTGAATAATGTGGGGAGAATACAGAGTTTTACTTTGGGGATTTTGTTGTGTTGCTGATATATATTTATGAGGAAAAGGGAGGAAAGCTGGCACAATCCACCTTACATATGATTTTCTTCAGTGCAGTTGGACCATCAGTTCAAGATGAGTGAGTTAAAAGATAATGCCAGAGTGCAGGACTGCCCCTCTTTCACAAAGAAAAGAAGAAGCCTGAAGAACAGAATGGTGTGGAAGGAGAATAAACACTGTATGGAAGACGGAATGAACAGCCATGCTTCCTTTCCTTTCCTTTCCTTTCCTTTCCTTTCCTTTCCTTTCCTTTGTAAAGGACCTCATCATTAGTTTGACATCCAAGCCCAATGACCCAAACTGGCCTCACCTAGAAATTAGGGTTGCCAAATCTTTTGCTGATAAGTTTATGTAAATGATGTAACAGTTTAAAAATGGTCTTCAAACAGCTGAGGAATGGTGAGTTACTTTCATATGACAATTTCCCATACTTGCCCATTTTAGTTGAAAATTTCCATGTCTGACACATCCGCTTCATCAGGAAAAACTTTAGTGCATTTATGTGGAGGATCTACCAGAAGAATGGATTCTCTTTTCTCCCTGAAGCTCTTCTAACCTCAAAGCTGCACTTCTGTGGAGTATTTTGCAGTGATGCAAACTTATGTTCAACATAATCTAACCAAAATCCCATTCATGTCAATGGAACAACTCTAAGTAGGAGAGTTACTTATAACTCTAAGTGGAGTTCTATCCAAGGGATTTTCATTGGATATAATCTCCTTGTGATTGGCTTAGATCTAGTATCAAAGGACAACTCCTTCCATCTACTTCTCAGCTTCCTTGTGTGACTGTATACATCCATTTATAGGCTTTCATCTTTCAGAGTATGAAGCAATAAAGTAATTGAGATTTCCTCTCTGATGTGCTAAGTGGAAACAGAAGAGCAATGGCTGTTTTTGAAATGCAGTATACCCATTTGTAAACATGCACTTTTGCAAGCACAACTTGATTGTGCTACATTAACCTGTAGGTAGTTTCAAAATGATCTCTTTTTGATATTGCAACAGCTGTCAATATATTAAAAGGAAAACTGCAACCTCATCCAGAACAGTGTAGCCTTAGCTGACAATCTTCATATTTCAAGTACTGCTTCTCCTGTATGACCTTGCAAAACTACACCCCTGTTAATATCTTCTTGGGGGGCCTTTCAGGACCTAAGAAAGAAAATCTGTGGGAAGTTCTAGATTATAGAACTTGTCACTGGAAGATGTCTACCCTCCGTTTCAGAAAGAAAATAAAAACATGTATAAAAACATGCCTTTGGACATTCATCACTCTTGCTGTCTAGTGGGTGAAATCCTGTTGTGTCTGTCCAATTATGGAACAACATTTACCAGAAGAATTGATTTGCCATCCCCACCCCTTGAAGCTCCTCTAACCACAAAGCTGCTTTGGAGGATTGGAAACTGGAGAAGGAAAGAATAGGGATGGTTCACTGAAGAAGCAAAAATCCACTCTGATATAGCCAAATATAGGCTTTAATACTGACTTTTCTTTTTAGCAAAGGGTTTTATTTTGACATTGAAAAATATTACTATGGTGGCATTGAGAATTTGGAAAAGCTACCTAAAAATTATCTTATTGAATAGATATGAATAAAATAAGAATGACCCTGTGGAAAAATATCTTCCCCTGGAGTTAAATCTCAAAGAAACATAACGTTATTGGTATTTTATTTGTGTAAGCCATCCTGAGGCTCTCACAAAGGACGGAATACAAATATCTTAAATAAATAAATAAATAAATAAATAAATAAAGCCCTCAGTTATTTCCATTATGAGCAACTTGTTGTGCTGATCATGGAAAACGACTCCCAACACACATAATATAAAAGAAAATTCCTCAGCTATGAAATGAAACATGATTCTATACATACGGGTGCATCCTCCTTCTTCAAAGCCATAAAATCCATGAGCGCAGCGGTCACACTTCTTTCCTCCAACACCTGGTTGGCAATGACATTGTCCAGTCTCATCACAGTCAAAAGATTTGGATCCAAACGAATTACAGTGGCAAGGAACACAGCCTCTGGATGACTGTACACCAAAGGTTCCAGGCTGTCACAGCAGACAGAGGAAAATCATTTAGCAGAAGTAAAAACAGAAGCAAGTACGAAAGAAAGTGGCAATGTTTGAGCAGAAAGAAATTTTAAAGGGATAAAGGGATAAGGACAAGCCAGGGATGAGTTCATTTCTTGCTATTTTAGGGGGTTAAATGACATGTAAGGCCAACACTGCCATATCTAGTTGCAGGCAAATGCTTTCAAGGAATTCATGCTTATATTTCTAAAAACATTTAATACGTTTTTAGAGTTTTGTACATGACCTCTGAATTGCATGATAAAATGCTGAAATGTGAGATAAGAAGGAACCCAAATTTGACCTTTGCAAGCTCCAAAAGTAATTAGAAATCTGATTCAATAAACTTCATTAAATATTTAGCATAATGTAAGAACATGCATTTTAAATTCTGAATGTGTTTAAAATGAGAAAAGCCTTGTAATAGAATGCTGAGCAACCCTTGAAACTCCATGAGGATTTGGACCTAGCACAACAGCGACCAAATGTCCACAGGGGACAACACAGCCTCTGTCCTGCCTGATGGATGAGGGCTTGCCCACTGCACTATAAGCTAAGGTCTTCCACGGACTTTCCATGCTATGGAGACCAGCAGTGCCCAGTCTAAATGAGAATAAATGAGTCTGCACACCCAGGATATTCCACAAGCCCTCCTCTTTTGGGACACCAATCATTCTGCCACTTAATGTTTCAGAATCATGACCGCAATGCTGCAGCTCGAGCAGATTTGCAGGTCGGAGAGATCAGCTAGTATAGATCAGCCATGAGTCACTAAAATAGTCCAAAATGAAACTGTGACAGTATCTCCAACTCCAAATTCCTCAAGAATGTCAGACTCAGAAGTTCTGTTGAGGATACTGCTCACTTCACTGCTAATGCATACAACCTCAGAGTGTGCCTGTGGAATCCCTGCTTGGGGTTTAACAACTGGATGGGTCTGGTCTAAATTCAGCCCCCAGAGGAACTGCTCAGTTTCCCCATTGTTACTTCAGAAGTTTGTTGTATCCTAACGTGGAAGTGGGCTAATTTGGGACAGGAGGTTATGGCTTTGATCTGCCAGTCCTGGCAACATCCAATACAGCATAGGCACTAATATACATTATGCTGTGCTAAAATAAATTTCCTGTAAGGCAACATGAACAGTGCCAGCTAACAGGACAGGTTTCCCAGGGAATCCCACTGCACCAGCTAACACTTTTGCTGCTGTGGTAATGGCCCCTTTTGCTGGCACAATGAGAGGAGAACTTCCACTCATGCAATGAAATCCTAGGGTGTAATTAAATGTGAAGCTGTGTTAGAATTTTTTTCAAGATGCAAAAGAAGAAAACAGAGGCAAAGAATGAACACAGAGTAAGTACATCAACAGCTAGTCACTGTAACTTCGTGAGCTTGTTTGCACAATCAAAATAAGCCACCATGGCTTACTTAAATTGTAGCACCTTCCAGGCTTGTGAAGGACACAAAGTGAATAATCATCACCAGGTGCAGTTTGTCATTATCATATGAACTCAGGAAAATGACTCTCCAACAACGAAAGGGCTGTCACAGTATTATTGGAAGGTTGTTCACCATTACTAGGCCATGCTAACCAGGTTTAGGTGACACAACAAGCTACACCAGATTATGCAAATTGCCTTGGTATGTGTGCTGATTTAAATATGCAATAGTGGCTTAAATTACCATGGTTTTGTTTTGTTTTTTTTTTGATCATCAAACTGGCTCAGTGAAGTTGACTACAGATGGCATGCAAATATACTCCAAAGAAAGGGGAATAATAAATTGTATTTAGAAAGCTAAAAGGTAGAAGATGAATGCCCTTTTAAATTAAAATTATTTGCCCAAGCCATGATTCTGTGAAGGATTTTTGTCAGTGTCTGTAGTACACTTAGGACACTAACATTGAATTCAACTTAAACTATATTTTAATCATTGTTTTCTTATAAAAATTGAGATCAACACATTAAAAGTGATGTGTTTGCTGTTAAAAAGGTGCTAGATTCAAAAAACTGCACTGCAAATTAAACGAACTCATCCTTAATAAGGTCCATCATCACCACCATGCCATTCCATGCAGTACACCGCCTTCAAATAAGGGAGGGGAAATGAAAATAGGATAGATATCAGCCATTGTAAACACCAGGGGGCGCTGCCCCTAGGCTTAGGTTGTTCTAACGTTTTTCTATGGATTATGGTATAATTGCATGAAGAGTACATGTACATGCTTGTTATTGGATAGTGTTTGAAGACAGCCTCTGCCATGGAATCCAGTGTTCACCCTGGCTTCTTGCTAGTGGTACACTGACATTTTGAACTCCATTGAAAACATCATGTGGAGGAACAGATAAATTTGTCAGCCAACTCACAACCCCCTCCATGGAGGAAGCCATTCCAATTAGCATGCATAAATGTACCGATCCGTGTACAGTGAATTGAAATACTATGGAGTTGCTTGACAATACTATGGAGTTGCTTGAGGGATTCAGGAAACCAGAATAATCTGGGTAATGCTATTATCCAAGTTCTGATGTAGCATGAGACACTAATACTCGTGCTGCATTCCATTGTGTGAGAAGGACATGCAAGTCTGTAAAGGAGCAGAACCACTTGCTTCTTGATCAGGACAGGTTAGCAAAGCTCCTTTTTGTGAAGTTCATTCAGTATTTCTGTTCATTTCCAGTTGCTTTCATACATTTCTGAGAGCCAGCATGGTGTAGTGGACTGGTCCCCCTTGAGCTATGAAGCTCGCTAATTCACTTTGGGCCAGTCATTGATTCTCAAGCTAACCTTCCTGTTGTGAATTTAAGTAGAGAGAAGGATGAAGATTATGTAACCCATAATTATATGGTTCCTTGAAGGAGAAACAGCAGGATGTACATATAACAAGCGAACAAACACAATATCCCCACAGTACTGCTGTGGAGTCCATGGAGGTACACTGCTCATTATTTGTATATCTTAACTACAACGTTTGGGGCTGAAGGGATTGCTCTCTCATAATTTCTTTTCTTTCTTTCCCCAAATGTTTGGATTTTGTAATTAGAATTTTCCAAGATTGTTCCTTTATAATCACCCAAATTCTGATGAATTATAAACCTCCTATGGCCGACTGTTTGTCTACAACAAGGTAGGAAATAGAGAAAGGGTTTTCCCCACCTAAGCCGATTTTTATCTCCCAGATGGGGAAGGACACAAAAGGACTAGGTGAGAGGAGTAAACAAGTATGTCTGCTTAGAAGCAAAAAGTACCTTTTTCAGGAAGGCCCTTGAACACCTTGTGAGAGACATGGGGTAAACGCTGCCAAGTGCCAGAGTTAGTTTTTTTTTTCTTCCCCCGAGTGGAGAAAAACTTGACTTTTCTTTACAAGAATGTAATCATGTCATGAAAGTAAAGAAAGCAGGTGGGGAAAGGATCACATTAATCCTAGGAAGGAAATAAAAATCTCTGTGTTGACTGGAAAGGTCTAAAGCGATTCCTGAACCTCTTGTGGGCACATTTGGGAATTCGAGAAACTGCTATGGGCACTACCACAAAATCAGTGAACTGCTGCCTTGGAACTGTCACATCTATGGACCTTCCTTGTTAGGTACCATCAAATCGTCCCTGATTTACGATGAACCTATGAATGAAATCCATGAAACTTTAGCTTATGTATTTATTCAGCAAAAGTTTTGTTTCATGTCCATTTATCACTTTACACTTGTTAAATCAAGGGTGTTTAATTTGGAGAATTGTTGGTGGGGCAATTCAACTTTTAAATGCATATTTTGGTAATGTTGCTCCTTTTTGAGACAAGTTAATATACAGACTGTACTGGAACAGTTTTTAATGTTCATTCCCTGAATTTTTCCCTCCTTCATGGTAATTAACGTATGGTCATTGTAAATTGTATCATTGCCCTTTTGTCTCCTAAAATACTGATATTACAACAGTTGAAAGATAAATATTTACCTCTGCTATGAGTACTTTACAATTCTTTCATTATTTGAAGGGCTGGTATATATATGGCACTTTCAGAAGGATATTCAGTCTGCTTATGCTAATGTTTATGCATAGTTTCTAGAAAGTTAAATGCATTTCAGAGAGGATCATATACATAGAAGTGTTTAAAATGTTTTTTTTTCTAAAGTTTACTTGTTTTCTTGTAAACTTTGGAATGACCCCCACCACCACCACCCGAGAAGTTTCCCTGGTGCCATCTTTATATTCTTATCAGTGCCAGGCAAAAACCTTTTTATTTTGCCAGTATTTTAATTGCTACACTGTTTTTAATGATTTATGTTTTAATGTGGTATTCCATTTAGTCAGTTCTGTTAAGGTGTGGTAGGGTGCATTTTACATCTAATTAAGTGTTTTTAAGGTTTTATATTTTTAATATGTTCTCATTGCTTGTAAGTTGCTCAGGGGGCTGTGTGGCTAATGCAGTGGGATAGAAATAAAATGATAAAGTAAGTAAGGTGAACATTTTTCCAGGATCCCCCTTATACATGCCACTGGAACTGCTTATGGACTCCTAGTTTAAAGAGAGCCTGTATGTTCTTTTGGCTGAATGCAGGTATAGCTTACTGCACCACCTGGTCACAGTTACAACCTTTCTACAGGGGCTGCTGTAATGTCCCCAGTAACCTGCATAGGGTTATTGTTCACCTGCAAATCCTAGTTCACAGATAGATCTACCCAACATATGCAGTGCAGTGATGTGGATCCTGGACTCAGAGTAAATTGTGGATAGTTGCATAAGTGCTTTGCTTATATTGAACATCGTGCCAGGCAATGTTCTGGAAATTGTCCAAATGCTGACTTTGCATTGCTTCCTGCTACAGGGTTAATGCGGCACCACACAGCACAGACACACACTAGAATGCAATGCATGCTGCACATGGTCTTGTTGATTACCAAAGAAGCAGGTTTGAAAGCGCCTCTCGGACACCCACTTGCACTTGGGTGCAGGGCTTTGATTTGCTGAGAAGTAGGTGGGTTCTCTTTCTGGATATGCACCCGCCTGATCAACTCACACCGTTTACCCATGAATCCTGATTTACAAAGACATCTCCCTGATACGTCACACTGCAATGATATGGATTGTAGTGGGTGGCAGCCACATGGTATGCAGAACTGCTTTTCTGGAGCCCAAAAGTAATTGGACTTATGAAGAGAAACAGGGGAGAACAAGTTTAAATACAGAACTATATAAGAAAAAGCAGTAGAATACATACAGAGGAAAAAAAGTAGAAAAGTGTATGTAAAGCTGTTGCATGCTAGATTTTTAACTTAGATAAGTGAAAATATGAAAATTGCACATAATAAAACTCTTTTGTGCATATGTGTAGCTGTAAGTAGCTTTTTCCCATTTAAAACATTTATTTGTGTATGCTTAGAAAATCAAATAAACTTTGGTGTGAATCACTGTAATTGATTCAGTCATGGTACATGATTTATGTAAGACAGGCATTAATCACAAACATGAAAATACTGGGAGTATTGTTTATTAATTTTTTAAAGAATTCTTAGATTCCTGTTTCAAGTAAAAAAAAAAAACTTTCTGGGACTTTCATGCCTGTACACTTCTAAAGTGTGTGAATGAAAGAGTCACACAAGAAATGGGAACAAAATACGCCTAGAAACAGTCTGTCAGCCTTCTGAAAGAGGACTGTTATGCAATCACTCTCTTATTTCATCAGATAATTGTACCCAAGTATAGGCTGCGGCATCTACTTTTAGATACTTTTCTACCAAATTACAGGTGCTTGTTTCAAGTGTTTCAATTGTTTATATTATCATGACAAAAGCCAGCATTGGTATATTCCTGTGATCAAGGTGAGATAGCTCGATGCACCTCAAGTGATCAGAAATCAGATCACTGATCTAACCTTTTAATGCCATGTGGGCTCTATGCTCACAAATGTTATAATTAAGGATGCACGAACCAGTCCATATCATACATATTCAATCATAAGTTGACATCATTCTGAAATGTAAAAGAAAAACTGCAAAAAAGGTTGTATTTATAAATTGTTTGTATGCACCTTTCTCTAAAATACCCATATTAAGAAACACCCAAAAAGGTATCTGCCTTTTCCTAATATATACAGCTTTAGTTGAACTTTTAATATTTATGCTTTTATATGCAAGTCTTGACCTGAGAACTGTACAGCAAAAATTAGGAAGTAAAGAATCCCAACAACAATCATGTTCCAATCCATATGTCAGTCCAGGAAGTTCCCTTAAAGATGTGGATTCAGAGGAATACCCAGGATCACTGGTATTTTCTGACCAACCTTGAGCCAATGAAGCTGATGCTTTTTTTTCTCCCTTGGGGATCCTTTCCTCACTAAATAGAAATATCCAAGCACAACTACTAGCTGGGCATTTTTACTTAAAAAGTAGTCCAACTTATTTCACTGGTACTTGCTCCAAGGTAAATGTGCATAAAATTGTCACCTTAGTATTGCATCTCTCTCAGTGCTTTATGGAGTAATTTATAACACATGCCAGTTAATGACAAAAAAAGTTTCCCTCCCCCTTCAACCCCAAGTCAGCCATTCATTTTTGCACAGAAAGGAAATGTGCGCTTTTAAAAAAGTGTTAAATATTCATAGTATATCTTTATTTTCGTTTGACTTAGATAGTTAAAACTGGATGGATTCTGTGCGCTGAAAATAGCATGCTTTATTTAGAACATGCAGAAAGCCTTAAAAATGAACACTGGCATTTTGAGATAGAAATAGAAGTCGTATAACATCCTTTGTTCATTGCCTAGAACTTCCCTTGACATTTTATCTGAATTTAAAAGAGTTTTGTGACAATACCTGAGAAGTAGGGAAGAAGCATTAGGTCTGGATCCATTTGTTGTGACTTACCTTACACTCATTGCACTGACGCCCCACAACATTGGGCCTGCAATCACACTGTCCAGTCTCAGAGTTGCAGTTCTCTGAAAATGAGCCATTGATATTGCAGTGGCAAGCTATGGGGAAATGAGAAGAAGCGTCACAATGCATGTTGGTAGGAGATGAAATGTACCTAAACAAAATGTACTCCACACCACAATGCTTGCTATTGGGCAAATTAAAAAAATAATCTGAAGAAAGAACGGATACATATGTAAATTCTTCATCATGGAGAATCCAAAGATGATGCAACAGATGATGCTGACAGAGCATATATGGTCCAGCTCATATAACATGCTATAATAGTGCATACCTATTAACAGGGGAAAATATACTTCAGCAACCTGCCGCATATAAAGTGCAAAGCCATTCCTGACATGTGATTCACAGCCAAGGACTTTACCTTGTCCAGTGTTTAATATTATTAGGGCTGTGCAAGCAGAACTTCGTTGTGGACACAATCTCATGCTTTACTGATGAATACCAGGTTATACCTCCAGCCTAAGAAAAAATAATGGGCTCCAAGTACAAGACCCTGTGATTGGCTCAAGCAACTTGCAATCCAAGTTGTTTATGCAGCACCCGGACATGTCTGGCAGCCTACCAGGTGTTCCATTAATGTTCTGCTTTTCCTTCCTAACTAGGACTGCAAAATCAAATTGACAGTCACAGACAGATTACAACCGTTGTTTGTGTTCAGGTTGGTGGATCACAAGCCTGACCCACGCTATTCTTTCTCAGTGTGAAGAATGATAAAAGTTCAAGTTTCTTCCTTTACTGAGGTCTCAACTGAGGCATTGAAACTGGAGGGCATTGAAATTGGCCTCTAGCACTGTCAGTGCATGCAATACTGAAAAACGCCACCATTTGGTGTATAACTTGTCACTGTAATATGTTGAGTGGGCTCATGGCAGGCTTCATTAAAGTGCTTTCTGGCTGATCAGAGATATAGCCCTGGTCACCTAGACAACTGTGTGTGTTTTTGTGTGTCTTCTCCTAGAATAAAGGAACTGGTTCTATTTGTGAGCTCCAACTCCAGGAGCACTAGCTGCAACATAGCACCAGATGTTTACAAACATGTAATCAAAAGCAGTGGCTGAAACTAACAATGCAAACAATATCAATACCCTAAGAATCTGAAAAAGCTGTGGAAACCAAACACTGTGGAGATTTCATGTAGAGCAGTCAGCAATAAACCAGTATGTGCTGAAGGATGGAGACAAGGGTGGGGAGGTGGATGAGCTACCCAACGGCCCCCATTGTGCCTGATCATACTGAGGCACAGATCAGACCTCTGGCAACTACAAGCCCAGGGTGGCCATACAATCAATCTGAGCTTCAAATGAATGGATCCATTGCCCCACCCCAAACAGTGCTACCCTTAGTCACTGAGAAAGGGCCTAAATTATACAGAAGATTATACAATCATTAGGGTTTAATTGTCTGACTTGAAGTTTATGTATTCTTCAGTTTCAGGAACTTTTGATGTTTCAGTAACTAAAATTATGTTTCCATAATTAAAATTCCATTCTAAAATATAAATTAAATAGACCCGGGATGATAGTATGATGTCTTTATTTTAAGGAACTTATTGCAACTTTTAAGAATACTACACTAGTGACAAAACTAAGCTATAATCTGAATTGTTTCAGGTATATGATACTGCCACTAAGGAAGAGAAGAGAAGAGAAGAGAAGAGAAGAGAAGAGAAGAGAAGAGAAGAGAAGAGAAGAGAAGAGAAGAGAAAGTCTGGCTGTGATTTGAGAGCAAGGTTCATGGTTTTCAAGTTTCCAATCTTAAATTTGATTCTTTAATGAAGAGTAAAAATTGAAAACAACAAAGCGAAGGCACAGTCTCTCCAGTTCTACTGCTTCAGGGCAAGCTTCATGGAAGCCTGCCCAAGAAATATGCAAAAAGAAAAACTAGTTGTAATAGGGGAAAAAATAAACACAGGGTAACTGCAAACACAAGAATGTGAATATATTGAAAAGTTCTATTGTCAGCTAATGACAAAAAGCAAAGAATGTGCGTATACATTAAAATCTATCTATCTTTAATGTCTATTTTAATTATATGCTTTCATTCCTGCCCTCTGTACAGCTGTCTCTCTGGGGAAAATGTTCAAAGCTTCAGCCATGTCAGTGCCTCAAGGAGAGTATCACAGTGATGGGAACTGCAATTCCACTCATAGTTTGATAATTCAAATCCTCTGCTTTTTAAATGACATCTTTAAAGAACAAGTCATGAGGTACCATACCAGTGAATTATTAATCAGCTTGGAGACAGCTTCTGAATTTGGAAACTGTAAAGATCCTAAATGTGTAAAAATGAGGGAAAAAAACTTATGGAAAGATATCTAATGCCATTTGAATCATACAATGGGGAACAATTCTGCAGTTGTTCCATTTTGTAAGATTTTCTTACCAATGCTGATACCTTCCTGGTTACCATAAAGCAAATATGAGGATAGGACATATGCTAATGAAAACAAGAGGCTGACACAGAAAATGTCAGCCTGTGACTTGCCCAAGTTAGCCTCATAACCTATAACAAATTTAAATAAAATAGAGACCAGTTACAAATGGAAGGCAACAACCGCAGCCCAGAAATGAGACATATCCGACCTTTTAAGAGAAGATTGTCATGGTAATATATGCTAGTGACCTTATTCGCTATTATGCAATGCATTTTCTTCCATCATCATACAATAGTTGTCTCGGGTGGGGAGAAGCAACATTTATCCAAGTAATTTCAGGACATAAGCTGGTTCAGCATCTTGGGCAGGACAAACATAATATAGAACCCTTGTTTATTGAAGCACCAGGGTGTGGCCTACGCATTTATGTAAGGTTTCTCTGTGAGGATTCTTGTTTTCATTGCCATGATGAGCACTCTGAACAGAAATGACAAGGGAGCATGCTTTCCCTGGAGTAGGACAGGCATCATCTACTACAGGCAATATCCAAGGCTGCCGACTTCCCAGCAGAACCCATGGCTAGGAGCTAGCCATAAAATCAATCCAAAGAAAAGCCTAATTTTTGATGGGGCTGGTCAGTGGATATTACAGATGGATCCTCTGCTGATTTCTTCCAATTTAGAAGCCAGCTGAAGCAGTGCACAACGTATTGTGTACGAGTACAGCAGCAATATCATCTACTCTCCTATAGAAGGGACCACAAGATACATCCTCATCATAACTAGTTCTCTTCAAACCATGGCAAGTATCCTCAGACTCCAGCACCATGGAAAGCTCCAAGTGAACAATTTGCTGGGATTTATGATCTCTCCAGCCATTTTCATATCATGAGAAGGCAAAACTTCCTGAAGGCAAAACCTGGAGAAGACAATCATGCTAGGGAAAGCAGAAGGCAGAAGAAGAAAAGAAAGACCAAATACAAGATGTACTGATTCCACAAAGGGAGCCACCACCTTGAATTTACAAGAACTGAGCAAGGCTATCACAGACAGAGCATTTTGGATAGCTTTCCACACATAGGGTTGCCATAAACTGGAGACAACTTGATGGCACACAACAAGAATCAGCCACTTCCATCGCCCTGCCTTCTCGGCTTTCTGTGGCGTCTGAGTGCTCCTACATACTCCTACATCCTGCTCATACTGGAGCAGGAAATATTTGAATTTTCAGGTGAATTAGGTTTAGGGAAAGACTGCTTCTGAGCTTAGATCAGAACATACAGTCACCATGATCAGTAGGCTTTGATAGTCTTATCCTCAAGGAATGTGTCTAATCCCCCTTTAAAGCTGTCTAAGTTGGTGAACCACATCCCGAGGAAGCATACAGCATAATTTAAGTACACCCTGTTATTCCTTTTGATTTTTCTGACTTTTCTACTTTGTTGGATGACACTGGATTCTGGTATTGGAGAGAGGGATAAATGCTTCTTTTCTGCTAGTTTTTCCACATGGATAATTTTATATAGCTGCTTGGCTCTCCCTGAGCTAAGCAGACTCAAGCAACTGAACTTTAGGTGAAAAGCAGGTGCTGATCATATCTACCCTCTTGTATTCTGTAAAGTGCAACACAGAGATGGTGCTATACAAATAAATACATACAGAAATACATGACCATGACCATGACATTACTCAGAAAACATACAATCCATCTGTATTTCCATAATGCAACCTGAACTACCAAGCTTTGGATAATACAACATTTATTGTATGCAATCCCATGCAAATAATGCATGTCCTGTTTGACAGATACTCATGAGATGTGCCCATAGGGAATGAATGCATTCTGACAGGAGAAGCTAGATTCCAGGACTTACGCTGACAGTTTCTTGCATCAAGAGCATCTCCGAAATATCCATCAGCACACTTCTCACAGTACTGGCCTGTTGTACCTGGCTTACATATCAGACAGGCTCCAGACAAGCTGTCACAGCTGCCAGGAATGGAGAAGTCAAGGTTGTCATTACATTGGCAAGGCTGGCACGATCCCCCTGGTATTAAAGGTTGTCCAAAATAGCCTTCTGCACACCTAGGGGGACAGAAAGAACACCTTAAAGTATTTATCTTGGCCTTCTGGCATTAAAAAATATTTACAGTTCTGCTGTCTTATGAATCATGAACGGCAGGTTGATTTTTCTCAGGTGTTTTTAAGGATCTGTCCCCACCCTTTCCTTTGTCTTTCTCATTTATTTATCATCACTACAGATTCATTACTTGCTGAAATTCTGCCAGCTCCACTAGGTTTTGAAAGTGGGAAAGAAGAAAGCAGGGATGGACCCTGTCATTGGAATGGAAGATGAGACAAAGGCATAATAAGAAATCTGTCCATTGGCACTCCAGGGGAAATAAGGTTCATGCTGAAAACTCTTTGTGCAACTAGCTACCCAAATGCTAGACTAGTGAACCAGAAAGAATGCCATTTCCCTCTTCAGCATTACACATCTACTTAAGATGGGAAATGAACAAAAATATCCAGATTAACTAAAAAATAACAAAAAATAAAATAAAAAGCCCCTGTGCATGCAGAATAAATATTTCTTTATCTGACACAGAAGAATGTTCTGAATTGTACATGCACACAATGCAGGAAATATAATTCTCTCTTCAAAGCCTATTAGCAGCAACATGGATGCCAGTTAACTGTGAAAGGTTCGGAGAGGCTGAAAATACATTTCAGTGACTCAGATGCACGTGCAGAGTCCAAACACATTAATGATTCTGGCAGAACTGGCACTGCCTCCCAGATGAGTTCCATGTATGTGCTTGAAGCCCATGTAGTTGGCCCTCATCCAGCTTGCTGAGTTAGACAGAAAAAAATCCTACAACTAGCTGGAGATTGTTGGGAGTTACACTGTTTTTTATCCTGACTAAACATGCATAGGGTTGCACCCTTAGGCGTAAACCATACAGAGACTTACTTGGAATTATGTTATATTTAACTTAATGGGATTGATTTCTAAACAGGCATGTACAGAGTTTCAGCATTCATCATTATTTCTGAAAAATGAAAGTTTTCCATTTCCTCAAGGAAAAAAACAGTTCTCTTTCTCATGGCTGTAAAAAAGCCCCTAAAAGGGGCAAAATGTCATGAAAAATAATATCTCAAAGCATATCAATGAGCTACTTTCAGTGGTGTTTCTGTAATTTCTGGTATTCCATTATAAATATATGATATAGGAATTCTCTCTCTCTCCCCCCAGGCTTACTTTCTGTCTGTCTCCTAATCTAAAGTGTTTGCATCTTGTGCCGGGCCAGCATGACAGACTGGAGATCCTGTTAGTATACCATCCACCCCAGAACCCAACAGCCTCCCTATATGAGCTGACAGAGGTTGACTTGGCTGAGATGTTGGAATCCCACAGGCTGGTGGTCTTGTGGGATGTTAACATCCACGCTGAGGGTGCACTGTCTGGGGCAGCTGGGATTTCATGGACTCTAGGGCAACCATGGGACTGTCTCAACCTGTCATTGGCTCAACACATGTAGCAGGGCACTCTCTGGATGCTTGGGGGATATCGCCTGGTCCCTTGGATCACCCAGTGTGGGGTGACTTAGGCTCAATCTTGTCTCCCATGTCAATTACCATATATGTGGAACTGCTAAGTGAGGTTATCCAGAATTCTGGAGTGTGTTGTCATCAATATGCTGACGACATGTAGCTCTATATCTCCTTTTCATCTTCAGCAGGTGAGCCTGTGGATGTGCCAAAACGGTACCCTGCTGTGACAATGGACTGGGAGGAAACTGAAGCTCAGTCCAGACAAAACTGAGATGCTGTTGGTGGGTGGTTCTTATGACTGGATGGAGGCAATAGAACCTGTTCTAGATGGGGTTGCACTTCCCTTGAAGAAGCAGGTTTGTAGCTTGGGGGTGCTCCTTGATCCGTCGTTGTCACTTGAGGCCCAGGTGGCTTTATTGTTCAGAGTGCTTTCTACCAGCTACAGCTCTCTAAGGTTTTATTGACCTTAGTTTTATTGACACTGAGTGGCAGAAGCTCTCTAAGGTTTCTGGAAGGAATTTTTCCAGTCACACCTGGAGATGTCAGAGGTTGAGCCTGGCAACTTCTGCATGCAGAGAAGGTATTCTTTTCTTGAGTTATGACCCTCACCTGCTGAATCCCAGATAGCATTGATAGACACAGGGCCTATACTATGCAACTTTCAACTCACAGGATATTCGATCTACACCCTTGGATATCTCCAAAATAGCCCACTGTTGGCATATTTACACACACACACTCAACTTAAAGGCTGGGGCAGGGAAATGCAAACAAAACATTTAAGAGATTGGGTCACCTTTTGCAAAAGAAAAAAGCACATGCATTTGGAACTATTCAGCTTAGGCAAAATGATAGCAGATTTTTAAGATAGCTATAAATTGTGCATAATGTGGAGACCATCACCTCCCAATAATACGAGAGCCTGGGATCACACAATGAAAATTATTGTCATTACAGTCATGATAGACAAACTAAATACTTCTGCTCTTAACTGAAAATTGGGATTCGCTGTCACAAGATACAATAATGGTCATTAAAGATGGCTTTAAAAGGAGATTAGATAAATTTATGGAGGGCAGGGTCAGCACCTGGGCAGCCTGAGGGCTTGATACTGCCAGTTTGATCCCAGCAGTAACTGTCAGCTGAAAGTGGACACAGAAGAGACACTACACGGGTAGACTGTAAATGAGCTTTACCACTGTGCTTCCGATCTTCTACCTGTGACTGCCTCAGAGAGACTTTTTGCAGGCAGAAAATGCTGCTTCCTTGCAGGATCAGGCTCCTAATTGCACTAATTGCAAGACACCCTACGCCAGCTGCAAGAGACTGCATCAGCTCCTATGAGCTGATACATGAACAGCCCTGTAGCCAGGGATGGTTAGAAGGAATTTCTCCTCCCTTCCCTGTCCCATTCCCCCCCCTCCACTTTGTTCAGACACATAATTAGAAAAACATTTCACAATGTTGTCTTTGGAAAGCCTGAAAACCAGATGAACTGGTTTCTGGGTGGTCCCTACAGAACTTTAAGACTGATTATAGGCCTGACATAAAAAGCTGGGGACCTTGGAAGTGTTCCAAAGGGGTGAACAAGATGAGGGTCACTCAGTCTATTGAACAGAGAAGGGAAGGGACTGCACACCTGTCTTTGTGGGTATATATAGCAATATTAGACATACATTGTCTGTTAGTGAAGAAATGTATTACAAAAATCACAGAAAGGGGAAGAGGTTCAGGGACAGGTCATGGACATAGTAGAGGAGAGACAGAAGGCGGTTGGGCCATGACTGCAGTGGGGAGAACAACAGGATGTGGATGTCTCCGAAGCAGTCTTCTGGAGCAGAGAGCCTGAGTGATAGACCCCATGGGATGAAGGTGTTGCTGCTGCATGCCTGGTTAGCAAATGGCAGCAGCCATATGGGACTTGATTGTGGATGAGTAGGGCAACCTGGCCTGTACTGCAGCGAACTGGTTACATGAGATGAGGGGATGACATCTCTTCTGGTTTTGCCCGCTCGGCTCATTCATGTGCATTTGCAGTGGTCTCCCTGTCTACGTCTGCCTTCCCACAGTTTCAAGCATGTGTATCCAAAGATGGCAGTTTGGGACAGAAGAGGGATTCTATTGGTGCACCACATACCTTGCTACTAAAAAGTCTCCCTTCCTGAACTAGCCAAGGTAGTCTCAGGTTTAAGAATACAAGAACATAAGAAAAGCCATGCTCAGTTAGGCCAAAAAGCCATCCAGTTCAACATTACACATGGTGGCAAAGCAACTGACTACAGGATCCTTCAAGCAGGATGGGTTCAAGATCTCACCTGCCAAAGCTTGTCAGCAACTGGTGTGTGCAGGGATGTCACTCTGGTGAAGGTGGAAGTACATAGCTAGCAAGGCTAGTAGCCACTGATAGCCATCTTCTCTTGCTGTTTCTGGCAGGATTCAAATGTTGAGTGTGACCTATACGACCCTACATGACTTGGGACCAAGCACCACGAAAGACTGCCTTCTCCTATACAAGTTGCACAGTTCCTAAGATCTTCTGGTGAGGCCCTAATTCTGAGGCATGTTTGGTGGCAGCCCACAAGAGGGCAATTCTAATGGCCTCTCCCAGCTATGGAATTCCCCCCAAAGAAAAGCTTGGTTTACTTCCCTTCATCAGTTTTCCGCCATCATTTCCAAAGACCATTTTATCGAGGAAGGCCTCTCAACATGTAAATAGATCTTGCGGATTGGATGCTGTTTTAATATTTTTCTTTGCATTGGCTATCTTTTACTGCATTTCAATATACTGTTTAATCCATTTAATTGGTTCTGTAAACCACCTTGATTGCTATTTTTGGTAGAGAGTTGGGGTACAAACTGAATGCATGCACGCATGAGTAAGATCAGCCAGAATTGCAACATGGGACTTCCAGGCTTAGAGGCGATATATATCTCTGTAGTCTCCAGCATGGTGCCGAAGAGTTGCCCATGGATGCCTCTCTTGTTGCCCACCATGCCCCCTGCACATTCTTATTTTTGTTTTTGTTTTAAATTGTAACTCCATGATATTGTAACTGGAATGACAGCATGCTGCAAAGAGAAGGCTTATCCTCCAAAACCAATTTAATTGGGGTTCAAAGCAGTGCTTTTGTGTTTTTGAGCTTAGTCCCCATATGTGGTTTCTTGGGCAAGTTACTTTTCTTTTAATCTCACCAATTAGCCTTCTGAGAAATTGTCTATTTTGTGACCAGCCTCACCAACCATGGTATTCGTGTTATACAAGGGCAAGGTTCATCCTAAGAGCAGCCATTTGTGCAAGTGCTCATGATATTATCAAATGTCCAACTAGGCCACCAACCCCTGAAGTCTGGAGATCTCTGATTTATCTGAAAACCAGCTGCTGGGGCAGAAGCCACATGGCAGAACTGGGTGTTGTCCTCATGACTTGTGATATCTAGGATTCTACAAAATATCTGGCAGGCTACTGTTAGAAACAGGATACTACACTAGATACAGCCTCGGTCTGATCTGGCAGGACTCTTCTTTTGTCC